TTTTCTCCTTCTTTTTTTTCCAGTTTCATGATTTTTCTTCTTTTTTTTTCACTTTCTTCTTGATCTTTCCTATTCAGTATATTCCACTTCTCCTTCTTAAAATGCTTCAACTAAGACAATTATTGATTTACTATGATCTGAAGGGCCAGTGGAAAGAGGGGGAAGACCTGTACGAATATCATATCAGTTTTATTTGTTTCATATCTCAATGTGATTTGTATGCTTACATGACAATATATGTAAAACATTGATTGTTTTTAATACCCTATTTCCTGGTAGCTTTTTATACAACAGCTACAGTAACAGCATCTCTTTGTTTCTGCACTATAGTAAAAATCAGATCTTAAGAAAAAGACCACTGAAATCATATAGTAAAGTCCCTTTTTTTTAATCACTGTAGCTCACTCACATATATAACCTCCTCATTCCACAGGACACACTAGCTCAGGCAACTCAAGTGGCTGAAGAAAGAATTGGCAATGTCCGCACAGTCAGGTCCTTCGCACAGGAACTCAAGGAAATCCAAACGTATGACTCTAAGATTGATCATGTCCTCAGGCTCACATACAAGGAGTCGTTGGCAAAAGGAATATTTTTTGGAATGGTAAGGAAGAAGTTTTGTGATACTTTAGTAAGCTTAGCTTTATTGCTTCTATTTGTGATTATTTTATCTTTATTGTGATGCTACCAGTTGAATGTATTTTTTTTATGATTATTGTGCTTTTTACTGTATTTGTGGACTATAAGACACCATCCTAGTTTACAAAACATTTTTGGAGTTAACCAAAAAAGCTGCAGTACACTTTTTGTACATTTATTGAAACTCAGGGATTTTTAGGGACTATGTCCATATGACAAATAAGCCACATTCAAACTGAAATTGACTTGCATGGTTTATGAAAAATAGAAGTAGGATTTACAACTATGTCATGGCATCTGTTATTATGTGAGGCTGTATTTGTAAAGGGAGTAGTATCATCACTGTTAGTTTTGTTGTCAGCTCAGTGAAAACAGTGATTGGTGGATAATCATTATTTCCTCTTGAGGTTTTTTCTCATTTGTATACTCTCTTAATATGTTTAATTTAGTAGAGTTGCCAAGCCGAGCAACTGACATTTGTTATTGAAGTTGTACATCAAAATTCCCACTTATAGGCTAATGAGTTCAAAGACATGCCCCTTCAATCTCCTAGTACAGCTAGACAAAGTGTAGCACTCAAAGATGTTAATAAAACTTCATAAATGTATATAGAGGTTTGAATAAAGGCTCATTTGTCATTGTTCAGTACTCTAAATTATGTAATGTACTTTGTACATTTTGCTGGATATTGCTGCATTAATAGTATTATGTGTAGCACCCACCACATATTTGTGTTCATTCTGTGATAAAAAGGTGGTCATATAGGTTGACATGTACAGTAATTTATCTCTGTTTTTTAGATAATTTCTTAATTTTCCTTTCATTTCTACCTCATTCATTACTGCCCCTTTCTAACACTTTTCCCAACCTCAACCCCTAAACCCCAGACAGGGCTGAGTGGCAACATTATCATCCTATCAGTCCTCTACTATGGAGGAGGTCTCGTGGCTGAGTCTGCCCTTAGCGTTGGGCAGCTGTCTTCCTTCCTCCTGTATGCAGCTTATGTGGGCATTGCACTAGGGGGGATTTCTACCTTCTACTCAGAGATGAACCGTGGCATAGGGGCATCAACCAGGCTCTTCTCCTTGATGGACCGCGAACCAGCCATTCCAACACAGGGAGGTAGGTTGGGCATTTAAGGGCTTTGGAGGGTGTGATATTACTTGATTGTGTTTCTCTGTGTGGGAGTTTTGAGGGAGACTCAAGGCATAGCTGATTGATAGTGCATATTGCCTCATTCCTTGAATATTAAGGAATAAAGTTTCTGTTTTCACTACTATTAATCCCTTGGATCTGGTTCACATGACCATCATGTCATGAAAAATTATGGCTGAGCACCAGGTGACAGGAATATACTGTAATTTAAAAATTTGTCTGAAGGCCAGGTGACAGGAATGACTAGCCATGAGTACATAAAGCTCTTGGAGGGGGATTATACTAAGGGGCTCAAGCATTATTTCCACAAGTATGGAATGTACCATCCATGAATCTGGAAGAACACTGGCTACAGATAGGACACATTTCTATGCTCAGGATCCTGTCCCAGCCCACCAAGACCCATAGTGCAGGGTGTATTACAAAAATTGAATATTATAAAAATATTTTAAAAATTATACAACAAAATATTACTTATTGTTATTGTTACTGCACAGAGTTATAGACTACGTAGAGAGAGAGGAAAACATTCTATTAAAATCTTGATACAGCGTATCACTTGACAAATATAGACCCTGGAAAATGGCAAAGAAGCTAAAAATGCTTATGCAGAAAAAGAGATCATAACATTGCAAAAGGGAGGCAGAGACTTGACACCAGACATATGTTTGTATGAAGCAGGCCTGCAAGCCACACACCCAGGAGAGTTGCCTCCCATGTAACCCTAATGCTCTGATTTTGGGCCACATGCGGGATGCCAGGAACCCAGATCCAACTGGTTAATAACATGGCAATAAGCATGCTAAAAATGAGAATAATAATTATAATGAAAAATATAATAGTAGTAATAGCAATAATAATGTTATTACTGATAATTACAGAAAAAAAAATTCTATGAGTAAACAAAATCAATAAAACAAGGAACAATTTACCTAGTGTCTGTGGGTGAAAGTCTGGGTCCCTTTAGGAGGAGAAGGAAATTGCTTATAGGCCAGAAAGAAATCTATTGATTAAGTTTGTGGATTTTTTTTTTTTTTTTCCATGTCCAGTTTGCCAAGTTAATTGGAAATTTCACAAGATCATCATTCAGATGACTTGCTATTCTTAATCTGTAAAACCTTTTCAAATGTATTTAACTTTGCTGATAAATATCCATTTTTATTTTTCAGGTTTAACACTCCCTGTGAATGAGGTGAAAGGAGAAATCCGATTTAGCAATGTAAATTTTGCTTATCCATCGAGACCTGATCTTACACTATTTAAAGACCTTGACTTTTTCGTGCCTGCAGGTTAGAAGTAAATTCCTCTTTTTTAACATGTTAAGGTGAAGCTTTCCTACCATATTGTCTATTGAACAAAAATCCATATCCTAAACTTCTGAAATGAAGACATTTAAACCAGTAACTATATTTATCTACCTTTTACATTTGTAAAATTGCTAATCATAATCTAGCATATAGTTTTAAACACATACACACTGGACTTATGAATAGTGTTTATTTGCAACAAATGTATAAAAAGTATGAATGAGAATGTATTTGACTGGTTTCGATTATATCTTATACATGTATTCCAGTCAGATATGTCTCTTGAAAATATTCATTCCCATTCATAACTTCATACTTTCTCTACACTGAGCCTAACCACACCTACCCCTTAGGTTCAGTGGTGGCTGTCGTTGGTGCAAGCGGCTCGGGAAAGAGCACCATTGGCTCTCTCCTCCTGCGACTCTATGACCCCATTGCTGGAGAGGTCACAGTGGATGGTGTGCCCATCACTCAGCTGGATCCAGCCTGGCTGAGAGCTCTCATCGGCTCTGTTAGTCAGGTGAGACTGCCTTTTCGGTGGGAAGAACATAGTTTATGAGTTTTGGGTAGTTATTACATTCTTATATACATACCTATATATATATATATGTGTGTATATATATATATATATATATATATATATATATATATATATATATATATATATATATATATATATATATATATATATTATATATATATATATGTATGTATGTATATATGTATATATGTATATATATATGTATGTGTGTGTGTGTTTGTGTGTGTGTGTGTGTGTGTGTGTGTGTGTGTGTGTGTGTGTGTGTGTGTGTGTGTGTGTGTGTGTGTGTGTGTGTGTGTGTGTGTGTGTGTGTGTGTGTGTGTGTGTGTGTGTGTGTGTGTTTATACATATTTTCTTTCTTTTGCTATGCTTGTTCAAGCTAATATTTAGAAGGAAAAGTTCATCTAGTAAAAAATATGAACATTTGTGTAATAAAAAAGTAAAATATTTATTCATATGAAAATTAGTTATTAGATTTGCTAACCCCCTAAAATTCCTTGGCTTTTTGCTCAAACCTAAATCCGCACAACACAGGAACCCGTCCTCTTTTCTACTAGCATCCGTGAAAACCTCCTCTATGGAGCCCAAGATCCTAACAGCATCACAGAGGAACAGCTGGTGAGTGCAGCACAGGAGGCCAACGCCCTGAACTTCATTCATTCTTTCCCCGAGGGCTTTGATACCCTAGTGGGGGAGAGGGGAGTCATGCTCTCCGGCGGGCAGAAGCAGAGGATTGCCATTGCAAGAGCTCTCATCAGCAATCCTCGCATCTTGTTGCTGGATGAAGCTACCAGGTGGGGATGGACTGCCTTTTGTTGCCAGTTCATTTAATTTTTTCTTTTCTTATCTTATCTTTCTTGCATTTTCATTATTTCAGTCTTTCATTGTTGTGTTTAAGTGTGTAATACTAACTGATAATAATCTCTCTGTACATATAGGTGAGGTGCTGTGAGATACTTTGGCTAGTACAGTGAGAATTTTCATCTGGTTAATGAAACAAAAGAAATTCACAGCTTTTGTATTAATATAGGCCTAATAGTTGGCAGAATATATATATTTCTAATGTCAGTTATTTAGAAAGAAATATTAATTTCCCCCTTCAGTGCACTTGATGCTGAAAGTGAAAGCTTAGTCCAGGAAGCCCTGGAGAGGCTCATGAAAGGACGAACAGTGATCACCATCGCACACAGGCTTTCAACTATTAGGTGCGTATAGAAGTTGTGCGAGATCCATTTCTAAAGTACCTGAATTTTAAAATGTATAACATGGTGTTTAACACTTTCCTTCAAATTAGATTCTCTCCCTAGTACCATCTCAGTAAATGAGGAGTTGTAGTCCATGGCTTCAGGTGTCATTTTGTGTACAAAATTATGTATTCTAAATTTACATATTAAATCACACTTTCCCCTTACAGGAATGCAGATCAAATTGCTGTTCTCCAGGATGGGACCATTGCAGAGCTCGGTTCCTATAAAGATTTAATGGCACAACCCAGTGGCATCTTCCGCAAGCTGGTAGAGAGACAGACTATCACAAGCTAGGGGAAAATGCTAGTGTAGACACTGAGTAGTAAATATGAGCAAGTATTGTTGTATTATAATGTACCTGCAAGAGTCTTTTATTTAGGATATTAGCATTGTTGCTGGATAGGTAGCAGTTCTAAGACTGTCATTTATGAGACTGGTTTGATCTCCTATTTGGCAATAAATATCTCTAGTATCATTTTCATTAAACAGTGCCCTGTTTATTGTACATTTACCTCTCAAGCCTTTGTAAATCTAATTGATAATTTATTTAATTAATAAATTGCAAAACTTTACCTCTTCATATATTTAGTTGCCTTGCAACTAGATATATCCTTTGTTTCTGTATTTTTCCTCAGGCCTCATCCAGAGTTGTGGAATGAGTTTCTTTCACTGAGAATTAGAATTTGTAATTTAATTAAACTCTGAGGTATTTATTAGAGTTGAAAATTGAAAAAAAAGCAAATGAGAACTCAATGATGATAGTATATTTGACCAGAAATATAAATAGCCAGGTCATTTCTATCATATAAGATAAACAAGAAAGACTATGTGGCTGTCTACTTAAGACCAAAATACTGTTGTAAAATCTGCTATGCACAAAGAAAATTTTGATTTTTTTAATCTTTATATTAGTCATAGATATATAAGTATTCCAAATTTTATTCAATCTGATCCCAAAAACCGTGAAGGAAAAAGAAATATTATGTCAGTTTCTCACCTGAGGGAGAATATGGACCTCTCATGGTTGTTGGGAATGTATTGGTTTATCAAACTAAATGAAAGTAAGTGATAATATTGATAAAAAGTTGAATTGTTTCAGAACAAGAGTTTTTTATTGTTACTAATGAACAAGTATAATTTTTTTTTTCTTTTTTCAAGGTGTATAGTAAGGTATACTTTGCATAAATATAAGAATATCATGTTTGAATGTGTGTGTGTGTGTGTTTGGATACACGTGAATTTGTTTGTTGATGTGTGTCTGAATTCACAGTTCATGTGTGAATATATCCATATGCATGTATATATCATTGTTACTAATGTATTTATGTGGGTATTTGCCCATATGTTGTTTACTTTTAATTGTCCATTATATCAATTCTGAACAATAAGAAGGTAGCTACTTTTTTTTTGTAAAATTACAAGTGCAATACAAATTCTAAATTATTTTTTAACTGTTGACCAACTATTTTGGAGTATGTTTAGTAATTTTGGCTTCCATGTTTTCTTTCTTTCTGTCTGTTCATATTTATTTCTCAATTATCTTCTTATGAAGTTTATAGACCATTATATGGGGTTAGAATTTGTTTTGTGAGATAACTTATGCAATTTTTATTCATCATCTGTTTATTTTTATATGTGATAGTATATGACATGAAATGAGGTTTATCAATAGCACCTTTACTTTCTTTTATAATATTACAGTTTTAAATATATGATGCACAAGAAAATGATGAAACAGATCTGATTAGATGAAGAAGTGTTACAAGCACTGGAAAAACTGAGCAGGTGGGAAGTGAAGTGTTATGAAAAATAAGCACATTAAGAAAATGAAACAATAGCTAACCTTTTTCTCTTTTTTTTCTGTTTTTCTTTTCATTGACTTGCTTCACATTACAGAAGAGATGGTTTATCTACTTTCCACTTTTTATGGATCGACCAAGTATCTTTTGTCTGTAATTTGAGGCAACTTTGTGAATAATGAATACAGCAAGTTGAGTGCTCTGTTAGTGTATTGTTTTTATAGAATAGAACCTTTATATAAAGTCTTTGATTTACACAAATCATTCAGATTATTTTTTCTTATTTTTTCAATATATTTTCTCATTTAGGATAATTTTTGACTGTTTGAAACTAGTGTCATTTTTTTCCCTTTGAAAATCACCTGTGTTATAGAAATTGTAGTAGTGAAACAGATAGGCTGAAGACAACAATGAGAAAGACAAAGCTTCCTCTGTGTCTTCCATAAGCCAGTTTTATTTAAAGGTATTTGTACAAGGTGTATTTAGCTTCTACTTTCATCTCCCAAGTTAATTCTCCTGTGTTTACTAGCAAAACAGAAGGCTTACTAGAACTTTGTTTCTGTAGTGGGTGATAGGGATAGAGCTAAATGAAACACAGTTTGTCTTTCTCTACTTTTTTGTTTGTTTAATTTATTTGTTTGTTATTATTGTGTGTTAAATTGTTAGATTACACGATTTTCATTATTGGTATAGCATGATGCTCATCATGAGTTATAATGTATAAACATGTATTTAAGATGTAGAATTGTTTAGATTGTTTCACATATATATATATTTGGGAAAGTGATGATAATAAAAATATTGAGTGATAATCATGCTAATTTTAATAAATTTCCATCATATCCCCTATCATTAATTTATGCATTTCATTTTTTTTTTCTTTAAGATAATACATCCTGTTGCATTTTTCAGTGTGCTCACACTTCTTAGACTTCATTCTCATCACAAATGCATTTATATTAACAGATTACTTATCTTTGAGTGTTGCAAACTCTGTTATACTGCACTCTTTGTTTGCACCTGTGTGAAGGCATAGACTGTATCATTATCACAAGAACACTTGTGAATATTTGAGAAAGGTAACATAAACAAACTACCTCAATAGTTATGGGTCTTTTGATTTAGTCCTTTATTCATCACCACATAAGGTAGTACTGATGTATCATTTGTCTTCTTAATATATTGGTGGTAAAAGTAATTTCTTCTTTACTTATTGGGATATGTACATGTAAATGCATTCTTTTTATTTCCTGCCTTTTCTCTCTTGCAATTTCTACCCTTCCTTCATTTTTGCTTTCTCTTGTATGCTCTCACTTCTTTCTTTTTTTCTTATTTCTTTCCTTTCTATTCTTTATAGAAGATATATGGTGGAGAACAGAAAAGTACTAAAATATTACAAAGGATTTTATTTATATTCACAGATGAACATGAATGCAACAGCATTTCTGTGCCCAGACATAAAGTATCCATATTTAACCCCAGTTTACAAAGACATCCTAGGGAATAAAAATAAATCAAGGCCTTCCTCTTCACAATATCTATTATGTGATATCAGTCCCAAAATTGTCTTCCTTATTACAACAGAAAACAATCTCGATTTATGATACCTCTATAACTCCTTTATTTAGATAAAGAGAGAGAGAAAAAAGGAAAGGTACTTATGTATCCCTACCTAAATTATGTTCCTTAGTCATGTACACCCACAAAACTCAAAAAAACAACAACTGTAGAATAAAAGGCATTTGGATAACTGTATTACATGAAATTGATAATTATCATTATTAATATACATTTTTTTTTTTTTTTTGTAAAACTTTGATTCATGAGAGAAGAGTAACAGTCACTCTAGCAGCCACACAATACAAAAAAAAAAAAAAAAATCTGCACAAGAGAGAGAAAAAATTTTATTAGGTTATTTTATATGGGAAATGCAACTTTCTCGGTGTGTATGTGTATTTGCTCACCCTGAAAGACATGACCATACAATGTGTAGTGATAACTGTTTTGAGTATATGTGTTCAACTAGAAGAAATGTTACTTTGTGGAACGTAGCTATCTAATTTGCACTGCTGCTATTGTATGATTTCTAGGTAATCGTACATGCCCAACACAAAGAGGAATGGATGCTACTTTAACCTGATGTGCATATCCAAGCATAATTAGACAAAATGCCCTATAATAAAATTTAATATTAGAACCATGATATGTAACACAATGCCCTATAATACAATTTGGCATCAAATGAAAGAATAGCCAATTTCATAATGCATGTAAGCAGGTAATTTTACAGTAAAACAATTCTAAAACAATACTACCATACCCTATCTTAAAACCTAAAGACTGCCATCAGCCTGTTTACGAAAAAATCACTAACCGGAGAGTGAGATATGACTTACGAAAGAACTTCCGTAAAACGTAAACGAGGGTCAAGGGTTCAGTTGGATAACAGGAATTTCAAACAAGGTCAAGGGAAGGGAGACTTTTAGCTACGGTACGACTGAGAGGCTGGGTCTACTATTGGACAGCTACTTCACGAGCAAAAAATCAAATATGGCTACAAGGTGTGTAGATGTATGTATATGTATGCATGTGTGTGTGTGTGTGTGTGTGTGTATGTGTGTGTGTGTGTGTGTGTGTGTGTGTGTGTGTGTGTGTGTGTGTGTGTGTGTGTGTGTGTGTGTGTGTGTGTGTGAGAGTGACGTGTTTTCATGACGAATATAGGCGATAACAGATGGGAATGGTGGCAATACACATCAAACAACAATAAATGGTCAACAGGTGATAACAAGGCGGGAGCATTCACACGGCGGGACGGACGGAGGGAGCACGTGGCATGCCGGACCCGCCCTACTTGGCCTTCGACTGCAAGAACAGCGACGAGAAGGCCTGGCTAATGCACAGCAACATGTCAGTGGTGAGTGTGCCGCGTCCGCGCTGGCTGAAGGCAAGAGCGGCTGCTCTTCGGGTCAGCGCACACGCCCCCCATGCCGCCACCACTGCCGGGGGGTACACGGGTTTCTCCGAGGTCGCCGCCGCCGTGCCGAAGGCCCAGTAGTGCAGCACGGCCGCAGCGCCGCTCAGCACGTCGCCCTGGCCGCCGCAGCGCCTCGGGGAGCCGGGGATGTCGCATGTGACCAGCGTGTCGCCGCTCGCGATCACGTCGATGTTGCCTTTGCACGCGATGGTCACGCCGAGCTTCTTGGCCACCTGCTGGACGTGCTCGGGGGTCACGTGCTCCGCCTTCATCTCGCCCTTCATGATCGCTCTGTAGAGGCGCGCGAACTCGACCTTGTTGGGCGTGAGGATGGCGTTGGCGTACCCCTGCAGCGTGTCGTAGTTCTCGTTGAGGTAGAACAGCGCATCGGCGTCGATGATGAGCAGCAGCTGGCGGTCCTTGGCGGCCTCGATGACGTGGCCGAGCGTGGCGAAGGTCTGCGGCCGCCGCCCGAGGCCAGGCCCGAGCACGAGCGCGTGCAGCCGCGGCAGCCACTCCTCCATCTCGGTCATGGGGTCGTTGGCGTCCAGCAGCGGGTGCACGATCAGCTCCGGCGAGTACGACTTGAGTGGCACGGCGGCGTCGCGGTGGCAGAAGATGTGCGTCAAGTCGGCGCCGATGCGGAGCGCCGTCATGGCTGCGAAGTACGGCGCGCCCGTGTACTCAAGCGAGCCGCCCATGATGCCGATCCGGCCGGCCTGGCCCTTGTGGGCGGCATAGGTGAGGGGCGGCACCACCCCAGACACCAAGCCAGACAGCTGTGGCCCGTTGATTGACATCCTGCGGATCACCCGCCACGCGAACCTGCAGCGAGGGAGGGTCAAGTAGAGCTGGTTTGGGATAAATAGAAATACAGGAATACAAGTTGTGCCCATTTGAAAATTCAAAACACTATAAATTAAATTAAAGTTTTGATGTTTTGTCCTTTACGGATACCAGTATCACTGTTCAAGCGGCGATATTGCCATTTTCAAAGAATCTATCAAAATAACATAATAAATTCCCAGCACTATCGTCAAATTAAAGAATCATGGACACCAGATATGAAAACAAGAAAAAAAATAAATAAATTCGCGGTAGTTAAAAGCGAATCTGAACACGAGAAAGGGCAAGCTTTACAAAAACCCACATACTCTCTGGATCCGATCTTGGTAAAACTGATGTAATATACCTTTGTAAAAAAACATCAAACCATCTATTACTATAATAATAACAACTTTCATAATAACCGTCTTGTATGAAAGTTTTAGTTACAAAAGTTACAAAAGATCATCAGATTTTAAGTTATTTCCAAGTTGAAAGCCCCAAGTTAACCTAATGCCCCCTCTACAAAACCGGCCTACTGCTCCGCAATCCAACTTTTCTATTTCTCAGAATAACAGAGAAAAGGATGGCCTCCTCGACCCCCTCCCCTCCCTCTGCTCCTTCCTACTCCTGAACTCACTCTGATTGTTGTTTACGTGGAAATAATATCATGGTGTACCATTACAAATGCCGCTATATATCTTGTTTCCTTCCGAATGGACGTGAGAAATTGCTGCTGCTGGGCACACCCGCGGTTCCCACTTTTGTTTATGATTCAGTTATAATGGTTCATATCACGACCGTTGCATATTATCTTATGAAAAGCCCACGCAGGCATAAACACGATAAACCTCAAGTTGTTTGCATCTTTTTTTAGCGTGGCATTGCTTGTAAAAAATATATATATAATTTCTCCCTAATAAGATAGCTTCTTTCAATTCACAATATGCTGCAGGTCTAAATCATACGGTTTCAAAAAATTCAGAAGACTGAAGGCCTTAATGGTTACGGTAATTTTTATATATATATATATATATATATAAATTTGAATGAAAGTACGCAACCCTAAAATCGGTTTATCTCTGTTTACTTTACTCAGTTGGTCACAGAACCATGCAGTCCGCGATACAGTCAACTTATTAATTTATTTATTTTTCTGGAAGTATTGCGGCAAGAACTGCCATTGACACGCGTGCGCACGCGTGCGCACGTGCATACTGCGCTTATAACCAAACCCGGCCCCCAGACACCCTAATGACGTCGCCAAACGTCAAGAATCTTAATGCAGACGATCAAGACAGAATAAAGAGGAAATAATAATAACCTCCAGCGAATCAAGGCGCCCCTCCCCCTCCAAGCCCCCTTCACATAAAGCAGCAGCAGGCTCTACCGAAGTACAAGTACTCCCGCCAAAAGCCTTAAAATAAGTGTGGTGAGGGGCACTCCTGCGGCCCGGCCATGGCACGCACACTATTTGCGGACGCTCCTGTTGGTGTCATTTCCTCCGAGGAAGAGAACATCTCTATGAAAACAATATCATTCAAGTCTATTTACCTATTAACCTATAGACTTTGTTTGGAGGCTTCGTTCGGCTTTGTTGAACATGCCTAGATAAACTTATGGGTCGAGAGACACTGTAGGACACTGCTTGCACTCACTCACTTGTCCTTGCTGATCTCTTCATCGAAGAGAAGCCATGTTGCAACAGTTAAAACGTCTTCACACACACACACACACACACACACACACACACACACACACACACACACACACACACACACACACACACACACACACACACACACACACACACATCTACATTATGATGTAAATAGCTAAAAGAAGTGTGTGTGTGTATGTGTATGTGTGTGTGTGTGTGTGTGTGTGTGTGTGTGTGTGTGTGTGTGTGTGCGTGTGTGTGTGTGTGTGTGTGTGTGTGTGTGTGTGTGTGTGTGTGTGTGTGTGTGTGTGTGTGTGTCTGTGTGTGTGTATATATGAATATATATATGCATA